GGGGTCAGTGGAAGGAAGGGGGTCCGGGGGTGCTGCTGGCCCCCCCCACCCCCCTTACACACCAGGTCACTGTTGCTGCCTGCAGCTGGGCCGGCTGCCGGGCGCTTCGTCCGGGAGCGGCGAGGGGGGGCCACCAGTGGGACCTCACGGGGGGCGGCGGCAGGGGGGCGGGAGGCTGTGGGCACAGAAGGGATGGGGGAGTCATGAGGTGAAGGGGGGCAATGAGAAGTAGGGGTCTCCATGGGGGGAGGGGGTCCCACGGGGGCTGGGAGAGCAGCAGGCTCAGCCCTTTCCCTTCAGATGCATGGGGGTGGTGAGAGATGGGGGGGGCACAGCTACGGGTAATTTGGGGGCAGAGCTGGGGGCGATCAGGGGGCAGAGGGAGGGGTAACTCCAGGGCAGAGCTATGGGTAAGTGAGGGCAGGTCTGGGGGTGATTGGGGGCAGAGTTGAGAGTAATTCTGGGGAAGCCCCACAGAACTCACCCAATTCAGGGGGGGCCGCCGCAGTGCCACCCTCAGACGTCCTCATCCCCAGCCCTGGGCACGTCCATGGGGAGGGGCTGGAGGACTCCCCCCCACTTGGGGGGGCCGGAGAGGAGGAGGAGGATGAGGCCGAATTGGAGGAAGGTCGGGGCTGGGGGGGTCGCTCCCCAGGGGGACTGCGGGGCCGGACCCAGGGCTCCCCAAAAGGGTCGGGCGAGGGGGGCTGTGGGGGGGGGGCAGTGCCACGGGGCCGTCCCCGGGACGCCGCACCCCCCCCATCCCCCTCCTCCCAGAGTCCCTCAGCCCCGGGGAACACAGCGAAGCCGGGCAGCTCGGGCAGGCGACCCCCGGGGCTGCGGGGTCGAGGGGGGGCCCAGGCCGATGATGGCGCCGGGGAGGGGTCCGGCGGCGCCCCCCGCTTGGGGAGGGGGCTCTGAGGTGCTGATGGAGTCCACGGCCTCGAGTCCGGGGAGGGGACGGGCGCGGGGTGCGAGGGGGAGTCCAAACCCGAATCCTCCACATTTTCCGGGGAAGAAGAAGAGAAGGGCGAGGAGGAGGAGGTCAGGACGTAGGAACGGGGCGCTGCAGCACAGCACGGTGTTGGGATGCTGGGGGGGGGGGGGGCATAGAGGGGTCCCCCCCCTCACATCCGCAAAGCCTCACCTGGGAAATCCTCTGCCTCAAAAGCTGATTCCAGGGGGGGCCCGAAGAGCGCTGCGGGGGGCACAGCCTCCATGGGGGGCACCGCGTCCACCGGGGCCTTCCCAGGGCAGCTATGGGGTGGGGGGGGGCTCAGTGCCCAGCACAGGGCTCAGTGCACCCCCCAGCACGTCCCCATGCCATACCTGCTTGCCTGTGCCACCGCGTGTCCCCTCCCCATGCTGTCACCTGCGAAGAGAAGGATGCGATTGGGGACACGGAGGGAGAGGGGACACCGGGACCCCCAGGAAAGTGGGACCCCCAGCACGGCCTCACCTGGCACCTGCGGCCCCCCCGGCTCGGCGGCGCTCGGGGCTGCGGACAGAGCCGCTGTGTGCCCTGGGGAGGGACATGGGGACAGGGGGTGTTAGGGGACGTGGGGGCAGATGTTAGGGGCTATGGGGACACAGGGACAGGAGGAAGTCGGGGACACGTAGTGCAAGGGGACACGAGGTGGGACTCACGCGACGACTGCCGTCTGACGGTGCCCTGCAAGACATGGGGGGGTCGTCAGCCCCAGCATGGCCCCCTCCCAGCCCCCACCCCACCCCAATCCCCCCCCCAGCCTCACCCCCACGCCGGGCGGCAGGATGAAGGTTCCCACGGTGGCCCTCAGCTGCTCCACGGTGGCCCCTGCGCTGCCCCCCCCCTCGCGGGGCTGTACAGGTTTGATGTGAACGTGGAACCTGCGGGGCTCATCCTCATCATAGTCTGAGTCGCTGGAGGAGCAGCTGTGGTGCTCCGTCTCTGCTGAGCCCCCGTTAAGGCAACACCCGAACCTCAAAACACCCCCAGGCCCCCCCCAAAAAAAAAACCCCATCCCTAACAAACCCGCAGACCCCAACACCAAACCCTAAGGATACGGTGAGTGACGTCTGGGCGCACGCTGAACCCGTCCTCATCCACCTCGGGGCAAGCCTGGGGTGGAGGGGATGCTCAGGGTGGAGCCCACTCCCCAGTGCTCCCAGTGCTCCCAGTTTGGGGTGATATGGGATGGAGGAAGGCCGGCACCCCACACCGTACCACTCACCACATCGGTGTCCGGTGACTCTCTGTGGGGGTGGCAGCAGTGTTAGAATAAGGGGGGGAGGGTGGGATGGGGGGCACAGAGATGCAGGGGAAGGTTGCAAGGGATGCAGAGAAGCGTGGGGTGTTTGCAACATAGAGAAGGGCTGCGGGGGATGCAGACAGCACGGAATGCAGGCAGCATGCAATTCCAGATGCAAGGGATGGATGCAAGGGATGCAGGGGAAGGACGCGAGGGATGGATGCGAAGGATGCAGAGAAGCACGGGGTACAGAGAATGGGTGCAAGGCACAGAAGCAGGGGGTGGGTGCAGAGGATGCAGAGCACAGAGGGGCACTGTGGGGGGGGAGGTTTGAGGGGGGGTGACACCTCACCCAGCATCACGCTCCCTCTCCTTGCGGCTCAGCCCAGGGATGCGGAAGGCTTTGCTGCGGCTCCTCTTGGGCCCTGGTTGGAGGGAGGGGGGGGGGGGCGGCACAAAGCAGTGAGCAGCCCCCCCCTTCCCCCACAGCACCCCCCCAGCACGGGGCTGAGTTGGGGGCAGACGTACTTGCCTTCCTGCGCTGGGGCCAGGCGGTACTCCTCAAAATCCAGCGCTCCTGAGAGCAAACGTGGGGTCAGCCACAAAAGGCAGCAGCATCCTCACGCACAGCTGAACCCCCCCCCCCTACAATAGGAAAGTGCCCCCCCCTCCCCTCCTCACCTGGGCGCTCCCTCCCCGTCCCTTTGCTCTCTGCAAACCTCCGCAGCAGCGTTTCGGTGCCGATGTTCTCCACGTTCTGCTTGAACTCCTCGTGCACCTGCGAGGAGCGGCGCGGTGGGATGCAGAGCAGCACCCAGGGGTGTCCCCATAGGATGGGGGGGAGGTGGGAGGGAGGGGGGGGGCTTCACCTGCCCGATCTGCACGTGGGTGTCCTCCACCGAGTGCGAGTAGGAGCCGATGAGGCCCTTCATGTGGCGCAGGTGGGCTTCTTCCACCTCCTGGAAGCGCTGCAGGGATGGGGAGATGGGGGTGTCACATCCCCAAGGGGCAGCATCACCAGGGATGGGTTTGGGTAGGGCAGTGCGTCCCCCATGTCACCCCCCTGTGCCATCACCCCACCAGTGCCACATCCCCACGGTCACATCCCCCATCCCACCACCTCACCAGCACCACATCCACACAGTGATGCTCCCAGTGCCACCACCACCACCCCCAGTGTCCCCCCCACACACTGTGGCTGACTCCACCATCCTCTGCTCGAAGTCATTGCGGGCAGTGTTGTATTTATCCACCGCTCGTCGCAGCGCTTCTGCTGCCTTTTGGGATTTCAGCTCTGCCTGCAGGAGGACAGCAGGGCTGAGATCCGGGGTGATGGAAAAAACGATCACCCAAGGTGGGAAATGGTGGTGGGGGGGAATCACCTTGTCGATGTCTTTCTGGTTGGTGCCCTCCCGGCGCAGCCTCTCGTGCTCGTGGCACTTGCTGTGGTAGCTTTCCTTGCACTTGGCCAGCAGCTGAGCCACCCCCTGCAGGAGCTGCACCGCCTCCAGCGTGCCTGCAGCTTCCTCCTTGCACTGCGGGATGGGGGGGCTGTGGGGGGGGGGCTGTGGGGCATGCGGGGGGGGGGGGGGGG